AAAAAAAAAAAAAATCTGTAATCCTAGCCACTCAGAACTCAGGAGGCTGAAATCTGATGATTGAGGTTTGAAGCCAGACCAAACAGAAAAGTCTGTGAGAGTGACAAACCTAAGAGATAATGCCCAGACACAGAGTTCAAGCCCCAGTATGGGCAGAGGAAGGGGCCGGGGAGCAGTGTGTGGGACAACACCTTGGTTTCCAGACTACTGTGTAGTGGTGTTTTGTTTGTTTTTTTGCCAGTCCTGGGGCTTGAACTCAGGCTGGGCACTGTCCCCTGAGCTTCTTTCACTCAAGGCTAGCACTCTACCACTTAAGCTACAGTACCACTTTCAGCCTTTTCTGTGTATGTGATACTGAAGAATTGAACCCAGGGCTTCATGCCTGCTAGGCAAGTACTCTACCACTGAGCCACATGCCCAGCCCCAAACTACTGTGTATTTGACCCCTACATTACATCCTAAATTGGACCAGCCAAATTTCAAATGCTGCACAACCACATTTAGTGGCTGCCCTGTCAACGGAGGGGATGTACCCAGTAACCTCACTCCATGAGCTCACCCATCCTCACACTGCCGTGTGGTGACCAACATTGCTGTTTCCAGTAACACTGCCAAGTCCCTAATAACCCAACTTCAGCCTCCCACCTCGCCAGTTCCTCCTAGTGACCCAGTAACCCCGATCTGCCACCAGGCAAGGCCCTGTGTCTGTTTCCAGCAGCCTAATTCTGTCTTCATTTCCTCCTCTTCCATTACCATTCTGGTGCCTGGCCCAACCAAGTGGTCCAGCCCAGGCTTTACTGGGTTCTATCCCCATCCATCCACAGAAAAGAGGAGGAGAGACAGAAGCAGGAGATGCAGCAGAGGGAGAAAGAGCAGTCGGAGAAGCTGCGGACCCTGGGCTACGATGAAACCAAGCTAGCGCCCTGGCAGCGACAGGTCATCCTGAAGAAGGGGGATATCCCTAAGCAATAGTGGGGAAAGACACGACGGCCTCCTGCCTGTTAGCCTGAGCTCAGAGGGGCGTCTCCCAACCCCTGCTTCGGCCTGCACGGTGGGTATGGACGGGCTGGGCGCCGTGCCGTCCCTCCCCTCTGCGCGGGAACCCTCTCTGACCCCCACACCCGGCCCCGCACCCCCAGCCCCGCCGCCGCTGGAGCGCAGGCGCGCGCTGCAGCCGCCGCCCCGCCGCCACCGCCACCGCAGTCTGCCCAGAAAAAGTGCCCAAGCTGCTGACGCAAACCGCCGCCGCCTATTTGCATGCCGACTCACACGCGCGCGCGCACGCACACACACCTGCATGCTCCTGACCGTCAGCGTGCAGCCCCCTCCCCCGCACCCCGGAATGGGCGTCGCTGGAGCATCCTGGGCGGAGGCAAGCCCCGAGCTCGGGAAGGGGTTTTCCTCCCCGACCCACATCTCGCCTGGCCTGGGTCCAGACGCTTTTCTCACCCCCTCCCCGCCGAGGGTTTCCTCTCAAGTCATTTGTTTACCAGAAACGTGGAAGCCTGCCCGTCGAGGGGGCGGGACTTCCGCCCCGGTCCCCGCCTTCGCCCCTCCGCCCTCCAGTTACCCCCGCCGGGACCCTCGCTCGCTCCCCCTTCCTCGGCCCTGCTGGGGTGAGTGCAGGACGGGGGTGGGCCGGGCTTCCCCCGTGGCCCCGACTGCTCCCGACCCCAGCCCTGCCGCCCTCCCCCGATTAAAGCTCTCTGCCGCCTGGGCTCGGCTCACTCTCACTGGGCGTCGCTGCGACTCGCCTTGGGGTCCCGGGGGGCAGCAGGGTGCACGGGGGTGAGGGGGGCGCGAGGCCCCGGCCTCCACCGCCACCCCCGGCCGTGGGAGGCCAGGCTCCCGACACTTAAAACCCCCCCTCCAGCCTCCACGGACACACCAAAAAGCTGCTTTTTTCAGAGATTTAATACCGAGGCCTCGGGCCGGGAACCGGTGCGCAGTCACCGGCCCTCAGCAGGTGGACAGGGAGACGGCCGGCGCTGCTACGCAGGGCCGGCCCGGGGCTTAGTAAGTGACATAACATGTCTACACGCATAAGTAACCGTACTTAGGGCTTGCGGCGCCGGGTCACCGGGGCGTCGCCGCGGGCGCGTCCTGCTGCAGGCGGGCGCGCAGGTCCTCGGCGCAGCCGCCCAGCCCCATGCGCTCCAGGGCTGTGTAGATGGCGCCCAGCACCGCGGGCTGCTGCTGGCGCCAGCGCTTGAGCATCTCGTACTGCTGGTCACGGAACCGGCAGATCTCCACCTCCACGGCCTCGATCTCCGCCTCGCGCAGCCCCAGCGTGCGCACGAACTCCTTCCAGCGCCGCGCGGGCACCGCGTCCACCACGTCGTACAGCTGCGGCCCCGGCTGCAGCAAGGCGGCGGGCGAGCCTGCAGGGGGCGCTGATTCCGGGGCTGGAGGCGCGCCTGCGGGCGGGGCCAGAGGAAGAACCAATGGAACGTCAAGCTGCAGCAGGGGGCGGAGTCGGGGGAGGGCGGGCTCACTGCTTACTGTAATCTTAGCTAGTACCCAGGAGGCTGAGACCTGGGGATCCTGGGTCAAAGACGGCCTGGGTGGGTAAATCCATTAGACTTATCTCCAGTTAGCCAACAAAAAGCCGGAAACGGGGCTAGGAAGGTGGCTCAGTGGTAGAGTGCCTTGCATGCATGAAGCCTTGGGTTCAATTCCTCAGCACCACATAAGCAGAAGAAGCCGGGAGTGGTGCTATGACTCAAGTGGTAGAGCCTTGAGCTGAAGAGCTGAGGGACAGTGTCCAGGCCAAGTTCAGGCCGCATGACCGACAAAAAAAAAGGCTGAAAATGGAGTGGTGGCTCAAGTGGTACACACTAGCCTTGAAAGAATGTCCAGCCTTAGCATTTGTTAAGAGAATTCAAGGCTCTGAGTTCAAGCCTGTCTCCCAGGCAAACACATACATACATGCATTTGTACATACATCACACATACATAATACCTAATGGACCCTAAGAACAAGGCACAGACACCACGCAGTTACTGAGTGGGAAATTGTAGCCAAGTTATAAAACCACAACATTTCACCTTGAACTTAACACGACGGGGTCAAGGCCTCAGACCACTTAATCTCTTACCAAGAGCTCTGCTGGGCAGGTGGTCGCAGGGTTGTGGCACATGCCGGCAAGGAGCAGCCTGGGTCTGGGAGGAGCCAGGGATCCAGCAGCTGTTGGTTACCAGCTGGTCGGTACAGGTCTTCCTACAGTCTCCAGGGGGCACCAGGAGAGTGCAGACGCTGTCCAAGGGTGAGAGATGGGTGTCCTGGAAGCCAAGGGAGGTCCCAGTTGAGCCCTGTTTTCTTAGAAAGGCCTCCTTCTGCTGTAGACTTTGGCAAAGAGTCAGGCAGCAGAAATCCCCAATGCTGCCTCCCCCAGCAGCCCTTGCCCTCTCTTGCTGCCCAGTAGAACACCCTTGTTGTCTCTGCCTGGAACTCTGCCCTGTTCACCCACCCCAGAAGAACATTTTTCCTCTGAATGTTAGCTCCCCGGACCTCAGCAGACAGAGCTACTGAGGACTGGCCTCCTCCACTGGTAACTCAGCTCTTAACACGTGTCCTTTAGGTCTAACCTACTGTCAGCTGCTGTAAGTAAGCTGACAGCAAGTAATTGAGTCCCAGAAAGCAGCCTTTTCCCCCATTACGTTCTGAGATTCTTACCCGTGGTGGGGTCAGGGCCTCTGTCCCAGCTGGGTCTGCTGAAAGACACAAAGAAGCTCTGATTAGAACTTGCTCAGGCAAGACCCTTCCACCTGAGTCCTGGTCCAGCTCTTCCTCTTGGTTTCTTCTGACTTAGTTTCTCCTTTTGTGCCAGCCAGGGTTGACTCTCAAGTGTCTATCCTGATCCCAGGCTTGGGGACTTACCAGACACCACAGGCTTAGGAGACTGGCGGTAGTGATACCTGTAGATCAGGATGGCTCCAAGCAGGAGGAGAAGCACCAGGCCAGCCACAAGCACCTGAATCCAGAACACTGAAAGAGCAGCTGGTGGGTGCTGGGTGGTGGCTACTGCCCAGCAGCTCTCCCCTCAGGAATCCCAGCACACCACCTACTCTGCCTCCAGCCACAGACAGCAGCGCAGGGCTCGGGACAGCTCCTGAAGATGCTCCTGTAGGAGAGGTGAGGGACTGGGGCGAGAGGCACACACACTACAAGGGCTCCTCAGGACTGCCTGATGGTTTCCCCATCCCGCAGCCCCTTCCTTCTCCAGGCCTCTCTCCCGTAAGGCTCACTCTGTCTAAGAAGGTTCCCAAACTATTGTTGAAATGTCACCTGTGTCTCCAACAAATACGATTTACTGAGCGTCTAGACCACGTTCCATAAGACTAAGGTTTCTTTGTCAGGTGCCGGTGGCGCACGCCTGTAATCCCAGCTACTCAGGAGGCTGAGATCTGAGGATCATGGTTCAAAGCCAGCCTGGGCAGGAAAGTCCATGAGACTCCTATCTCCAACAAACCACTAGAAAACCGGAAGTGGCGCTGTGGCTCAAGTGGTAGAGTGCTCGCCTTGAGCTGAAATGCGCAGGGACAGCGCCCAGACCCAGAGTTCAAGCCCCACGACTGACCAAAAAAAAAGAGTAAGGATTCTTGCCTCTTTCGTTTTTTTTTTTTTTTCTTTTGAGGTGAGGGG